TGGTGAAGTCGCGGTTGCCGAAGATGAGGAGGAAGAATCAGATCAAGAGAATGGTCTAGACCAGCCATCATTGGATCATGATGATGAGGGGCCAACTCCTCAACAAAAGGCCTTGCAATATATTCAGCATAGGATGATGCTTGCTCCACCATTCAGACTTTACTTCATCAATTCACCAACATCATTTTTTTTACTTGGAGCCCCAAGTATGACATGGACTTGCGCGTGCCTTTTCATCTTCTGATCTCAGTTGGAGCAGTGGTATAGTACTATATATACTCGCTTTGAAAACTTGTTAGGTTGCTATACTATCTCCCTTGTTTCTTCCCAACATCACGAACTAACTGACTGCTATACATCTATATACTACACATTTATACATACATCGATATACTGTATGTTTACGATTCATTTGTAGTTTCGGCTGTTGGTGCCGAGGGAGGAGATGGCGGTTCATCGTTGTCATCTCCTGGTTCTTCGGAAGCACCGACAGCTTTTCGTTTCAATAGCGGATGATCTGCTCGTGGAACAAAGCCATGTGGTTTCTGTCCTTTGGCTTGATTTCTCATCTTCTTGTCGTGTCGTTTGAGCATAACATGGACGGAATCCTCCACCGTTCGCAATTTGGAACTACCGCAGCCCATTGTTTCTGTTGTTCGAATCTATTTGGTCTTCTTCCGTTGATGCTCTCTCTCGTTTCTCTCAATCTGATTTTAAACACTCGTGATCAAGCTAGCTCCTTAAGATGAAAAAAGGAGAGAATGCTGAGTAAATGTTCATTGAGTTTCAGTCATGCTGGTGTATAAGCCGGTTGTTCTTCCTTGTGGTGCTTCTCTGTCCAAGCACCAGGCTTGTTGTTGCAACTAGTAACAAAGTCTATTCAGTTTCCAGTCAGTTTCCAGTCAGTTACTCTCACCTCAGATAATCACTTCCTATTCGCTTGCTTTTTCCTTTTCTTTTTTTTGTTGTTGGATCACACAATAAGACCAAACGAGAGTTGTATTTTGTGATACCGCGGTACAGTATATGAGTGACTTTCTTAAAAGTTCTGACTTTTCACTGGAAGAAGGATGAAGTCTCGGAAGAATTTGGCCTTCGAGGAGGTCTCATGATGACTTCCTCTATGTAGGTACTCCTCCTCGAGACTCCCCAAGGATTCATTCGTTCATCCTACGGTATTCTTGCTCGGACCAATCAAATCAAACGATTGAGGAAGGTTTTTTCATAATATATATTGATTGGTCGCGGTGCAGTGTCTCGGAGATACTCATTCGCCACTAGAAAAGTACATTCATGTTTCTGCATGTACACCGCATCTTTATTAGTATGTACAGTACTCGTGTCACTACAGTGTCTATGCAATTTCATTCCAGTAAAACCAAATAAGATAAGTATAGTCGAAGAATAACTCATCAATAGCACTGTATTTACTAGTTCTTGTTCTTAGATCATGGTTCTTCAACCTTGGGCAAATCAACAAAGCAGCCCATGACTACCGAGGATACTATACCCCTATGATGATATGTGTCCCCTACTAGTCTTATCCCTATTTTTTGCTGGTGATTGATCTATGCTGTATCAGAAAAATGAATGAATCAGCGATATTTCGTCTTTTCCCAACGACCTTCGGCCAAGAACTTGCGCCTCTTGTTGGTGGTTTCCCGTCGAAGAAGGTGGTGGTGAGGAGTGGGTGATCCCTTTCTTGTTCTTCTAGCATGACGATCCTGTGAGATTCCTCTCGGATAGTGTAGTTGCATTACACTCCTCCAAGTTCCAGCAAGTTCATCTGCAACAGTAGGCAGCCCCTCTCCGTTTTCGATTCATTGCAGCTGGGAGGATCTCAACGCCGAATCTTACTTTCCGCTCAAGAGTAGCTCCTTCTTGTTCCTCTTTTCTGGTGAGTCTGCTCCTCCTTCCAAGTGATCAGCGTGAATTCCTTCTTCTTTATACAGTAGTATATTCATTTTATACCGCCATGCCATGCAATATAATATGTCTACGTAGTATAATAGTAATAGATACACACCAACAATGAAATTTCATCTGCGTGCAGTACCGGTATGTACAACTAACTCAATATTGAATA